GTTTCTTCAGAAAAAAAATACAGTTTTGAAAATAAGTATTTGTATTTTTAGACTTTTCACGCAAATCTACAGGGGGACAACTGGCGCACAGTCATCCCTAATGTTGAACTAATACACTAAATGGAAGGTTGGTTTGGTTATTGTTGATCACAAAGGTACACAATGGACTACTGGTGCTCTGTACACCAAGGGTATCAAAACCCGATTTTTAGCGTGTAAGCCTGCAGATTTACCACAACTGTCAGAGAGCTGTCCTGAAACTCGAAGGCCAGCCTTGCTGACGCATAACTGTCAATCTTGCTGCCTCAGGCCATAATGGGCCCAATGCTATATTGAGCTAAGTTGGGTGTTGTGAGGAGTGATCTCCAAGTAGTCCTCAATATTTTACACAACACTTTGTGAAGTAATGATAACACGGGATCCTAATATACACTTTTCATGACCAACAAACCTCACTGAGTTTATTGGGAACACAATATGTCGATACGAGAGCTTCCAAACTATTTTGAAGAGTACAACTGAGCTCTAAAGGGTCTCGGTAAGCCTATATGCGTCTTGGGTTTGTTGCACTGCCCTACTATCTGTAGTTCGTCCCTTTTCATGCTCATGGATACAATTTACTTCCAATCACGGAAAACGGCACTTTCAGACAGCAACAATATAAAACATTAAGGCACAATTTTGTAGCATGCTGACGTCACGTGCGAATTCCTTCAAATTAAAATGCCTTCTGACACGCGTTTCAGCAATAATGGCGCAAACAACAAGAATTGTAGCACAAAACTACAAGTAATGCAACATTGAACTACGAATAATAAAGAGCATCACATTTGGCAAGAATCCCTGTATTATAGAAGAATGTAATTCTCTTGGGTGGTAACAAGTACCTGTATTATAGAAGTATGTAATTCACTTCGGTGGTAACAAGTATAATAAATCACCAAGAGTGAGCATGTTTCGTCACTTGAATCAACAGCCTGCAACAAATCTTTTGCTTAATCGTTAATTTACAACTAGAACCTCAATGTATTCGCAATAAGCAAACTTAACTGAAAACTATGATCA